TTTTAGTTATTGGTATTTTTAAAAATTCAAATAGTACATCTTATAGAACTTTTGGGGTGCTATCCAGAACTCTAACCAGAACTGTTTTTCAACATTGCATTTTCTTCGTAAAGTCGATTTTTATGTCTATCTATAGAGTCGTGCATCAATGAAAATTTTAATTATTGGTATTTTTAAAAAATCAAATAGTACATCTTATAGAACTTTTGGGGTGCTATCCAGAACTCTAACCAGAACTGTTTTTCAACATTGCATTTTCTTCGTAAAATCGATTTTTATGTCTATCTTTAGAATCGGGCATCAATGAAATTTTTAATTATTGGTATTTTTAAAAATTCAAATAGTACATCTTATAGAACTTTTGGGGTGCTATTCAGAACTCTAACCAGAACTCTTTTTCAACATTGTATTTTGCACGTAAAGTCGATTTTTATGTCTATCTATAGAGTCGTACATCAATGAAATGTTTAATTATTGGTATTTTTAAAAAATCAAATAGTACATCTTATAGAACTTTTGGGGTGCTATCCAGAACTCTAACCAGAACTGTTTTTCAACATTGCATTTCCATCGTAAAGTCGATTTTTATGTCTATAGAGTCGTACATCAATGAAATTTTTAATTATTGGTATTTTTAAAAATTCAAATAGTACATCTTATAGAACTTTTGGGGTGCTATCCAGAACTCTAACCAGAACTGTTTTTCAACATTGCATTTCCTTCGTAAAGTCGATTTTTATGTCTATCTATAGAGTCGTGGATCAATGAAATGTTTAATTATTGGTATTTTTAAAAAATCAAATAGTACATCTTATAGAACTTTTGGGGTGCTATCCAGAACTCTAACCAGAACTGTTTTTCAACATTGCATTTTCTTCGTAAAATCGATTTTTATGTCTATCTTTAGAATCGGGCATCAATGAAATGTTTAGTTATTGGTATTTTTAAAAATTCAAATAGTACATCTTATAGAACTTTTGGGGTGCTATTCAGAACTCTAACCAGAACTCTTTTTCAACATTGTATTTTGCACGTAAAGTCGATTTTTATGTCTATCTATAGAGTCGTACATCAATGAAATGTTTAATTATTGGTATTTTAAAAAAATCATAGAGTACATCTTATAGAACTTTTGGGGTGCTATCCAGAACTCTAACCAGAACTGTTTTTCAACATTGCATTTCCTTGGTAAAGTCGATTTTTATGTCTATCTGTAGAGTCGTGCATCAATGAAATTTTTAACTATTGGTATTTTTAAAAATTCAAATAGTACATCTTATAGAACTTTTGGGGTGCTATTCAAAACTCTAACCAGAACTGTTTTTCAACATTGCATTTCCTTCGTAAAGTCGATTTTTATGTCTATCTATAGAGTCGTGCATCAATGAAATTTTTAATTATTGGTATTTTTAAAAATTCAAATAGTACATCTTATAGAACTTTTGGAGTGCTATTCAGAACTTTAACCAGAACTGTTTTTCAACATTGCATTTCCTTCGTAAAGTCGATTTTTATGTCTATCTATAGAGTCGTGCATCAATGAAATTTTTAATTATTGGTATTTTTAAAAATTCAAATAGTACATCTTATAGAACTTTTGGGGTGCTATCCAGAACTCTAACCAGAACTGTTTTTCAACATTGCATTTTCTTCGTAAAGTCGATTTTTATGTCTATCTATAGAGTCGTGGATCAATGAAATGTTTAATTATTGGTATTTTTAAAAAATCAAATAGTACATCTTATAGAACTTTTGGGGTGCTATCCAGAACTCTAACCAGAACTGTTTTTCATCATTGCATTTTCTTCGTAAAATCGATTTTTATGTCTATCTTTAGAATCGGGCATCAATGAAATTTTTAGTTATTGGTATTTTTAAAAATTCAAATAGTACATCTTATAGAACTTTTGGGGTGCTATTCAGAACTCTAACCAGAACTCTTTTTCAACATTGTATTTTGCACGTAAAGTCGATTTTTATGTCTATCTATAGAGTCGTACATCAATGAAATGTTTAATTATTGGTATTTTTAAAAATCAAATAGTACATCTTATAGAACTTTTGGGGTGCTATCCAGAACTCTAACCAGAACTGTTTTTCAACATTGCATTTCCTTCGTAAAGTCGATTTTTATGTCTATCTGTAGAGTCGTGCATCAATGAAATTTTTAACTATTGGTATTTTTAAAAATTCAAATAGTACATCTTATAGAACTTTTGGGGTGCTATTCAGAACTCTAACCAGAACTGTTTTTCAACATTGCATTTCCTTCGTAAAGTCGATTTTTATGTCTATCTATAGAGTCGTGCATCAATGAAATTTTTAATTATTGGTATTTTTAAAAATTCAAATAGTACATCTTATAGAACTTTTGGGGTGCTATTCAGAACTCTAATCAGAACTGTTTTCAACATTGCATTTCCTTCGTAAAGACGATTTTTATGTCTATCTATAGAGTCGTGCATCAATGAAATTTTTAATTATTGGTATTTTTAAAAAATCAAATAGTACATCTTATAGAACTTTTGGGGTGCTATTCAGAACTCTATTCAGAACTATTTTTTAAATCATTTTTTACCTAGAAAATCGATTTAAACTGCGCAGGCTGCCGTTTTATTTTTGTTCATAACTTGGTTAATACAATAGAACTATTTTGATCAATAGTCAGGAACTATAGAACTCTTGTTCTAGAATATATTTCCACTATCAGAACTGTTCCAGAATAAAAAAAAGGGTGCTACGTGAAGTTGGCACCCCCATGTCATATCTCCCGAAATTAACCAGAACTATTTTTCTAACTTATCAAGAACTATAGAACTATTGTAAATCTATCCAGAACTCTCAAATTCCAGTTCATTTTTTGAAAAAAGGGTGCCAACTTCACACGAGTGCCATATTAGACTTTAAATTATTTATATTTTGTGACGTGGATTCGTTATAATTATTTTGTTGGATGTCGAACCATAAAGTTTATGATAAAACTCGAAGAATTTCAACAAAACACTTTTATTAATGAACTTTACGTTTCCGTGACAAATCAAATCATATGTTTTTTCTACCTACCGTCCCTCGCTCTTTTTTATAATGGACTCGTCCAAGCGGCCCGAGAGGGGCCCTATAATAATAATAGTTCTCTGTTACAGTTTTTAATAAAACTTGTAGAAACAATCTTAAAGAATACTTACTACCTATTTTGATTTTGATTTCGGTGCTATGATTTCGTTGTAGAAGTACCTAAAAATATTTTCCTCGGAATATGATTCCAAAAAACGGCGTCAAATTACCTTTGAAATGACAATCGTCGGAATCGATCGTCGTGTCAAAAAATTGTACGAGTACCTAAATATTTATTTCGATACTATGATTTCGTTGCAGAAGTACCTAAAGTTTTTTTCATCTAAATGGATCATCGTGTCAAAAAATTGTACGAGTAGGTACCCAGAAATTTATTGCGGTACTGTTATAATACGTTACTGAAGTACCTAAAGATTTTTTTCATCTAAATCGATCGATGGATTGTACGAGTACCTAGAAATTTACGTAGAAGTACCTAAAAATGCTTTTCGTCTCAGAAAACAGATCGTCGTATCAAAGAATTTTACGTAGAAATACCTAGATATTTATTTCGGTACTATGATTTGGATGTAGTAGTACCTAAAATTTTTTTCGTTTAAATCGGTCGTCGTATTTGTGTTTTGACATTATTCGATACAAAATTACACTCTGAGGGTGCATCCACACTATCCTAAAAACGGCGTATCGGCGTAACGGCGTAACGACCTTGAATCGATTTCCAGAAATTCTGTTGGCTGAAATTTCTGACAGATGAATTTGACAGCCAATAGAATTACTGGAAATCTATTCAAGGTCGTTACGCCGTGACGCCGATACGCCGTTTTTAGGATAGTGTGGATGCACCCTCAATAGAATAACATATCATAATATGTCAATTTTTGACATTTTCGCATATGCCCATATAGCACATTAAATAAAATTTACGATGTGTTTACATTACTAGATGTATACACAAGGTTACACAATTCCTCCAATGTAAATATGTTACGTTTACACATAGTAGTTCAACACGTATGCACAAAGGTTAAACGTCCGCCTCACAATGTAGCCACAGTATAGCATTTACGTATACACAAAGTAAGAGATTCACAGTGTTCCTTAGGATACACAGTAGTTGTGTATTACGTTTAAACTATGCTTACATATTGCATTTGTGACTACCGCGTGTATACGTATGTATTTTGCACTGTGTATATATACAGGGTGAGTCTTAAATAAGTGCAAATATTTTTAAGGGTGGTATATTTCGATTCCAGAAACACGCCTATGAGGTTTTTTTCGCAAAAAAATTTGAAAATTTGGAATTTTCCTGGAAATTTCTTTAATTTTTAGTTAAAAAACATAATATCTTAAAAATATGGTAACATAGATAGAAGATTAAATTTACAAGAAAGGATCGAAACCCAGAAAATATGAAGTGGTTCTCAAAATTTAAGCGAAAAATATATATATTTTTTAAATTTTCGAAGTGAAATATCTCAGTTATTTGGGACTTATTTGAAAAACGGTAAAGAGAAAATATGTTTCTTTTATCGAGATCTACAAGCTCTGAAAATATTTGCACTTATTTAAGACTCCCTTGTACATCTTTTCGTTTTTAGAACGGTTATTTTATTAACTATTTATTTAGTTATACTCATTATGTCTTTGAGAACAAAAAGTTCGGATACGAAACTTTATTTTTTTTCGAAGTATCTCGGTAGCCGAAGACAAGTAGCTTTATACAGTTAGCGGCTAAAATTGAAATTCGTATCATATTATATACATATATACAAACCTAGCTAGTATCAAGGAACACTATTAATTATCTAACAGGAAAGAGAAGTAGGAAAAACTGGAAAATGATATACCTTTTACAAAAATATCAACATATATTATAAAACGTATTAATACTTATAATAAAATAAAAACCCATTTTCTATGTGTTATTTCCCATCAGCCTGTGATACTGCAGCCCTCTTCTCAGCCATTTTCTTTTTTTTTAATACTTTTTTTACTTCCAGGCGGTTGACTGCTTGGCGCAACCACTCACCAATAGCCCCGTCGGACTGAGATTTAATTAGATCTAATTTAGCTAATTCAGCTTTCGGTTTTATCGCTTCTGTGTCGACATACAATAGTAAAGGTAATATTAGAAACATATATATGTATATTAGTAAGGAGTTCCTTAAACTGTACAAATCCTTCTTTTAGTGGTCCATTTGGGCTGTTTCGGCGCCCAAACATATTATACTGTGAAGCTAACTCATTGGTCGTTATGTGTGAATAAATATGATTAATCGCTTTATGCAATTCTTGACGGATTGTTTTGGAGTCAAAATCTTTCAAATTCGGTACTGGACATGCATCCTTCATGAAAAGTCGCTGCAATAATACAAAATAGTGTCAGATTACCTAAGTAAATACCATAAAGAATATTCACTTTTTAGTATAATAAAATAAATGTGCATCATATCGTCCTATTGCTGCCAAAAGTCACTAACTAACGTTTTTCCGAACAACCAAATTCAATCACTAACTATGTTTTTAATTGGAGAATCGATTGCAAAAGTCATTAACTACGATTTCTGGCTATTTATGTTTTATTTTAATACCGAATAGTTACTAACTATAACATCTTTATGCAATGCAATTCTTCTTTAGACGCATTTTTCTCGGAAGTAATAAAAAGTAAGTTAGTGACTTTTGGCAGCAATGGGACGATATGAAAAATACAAAACTTACAAGGAATGTGAAGTAACGACTGTTTGTCCTCAATGTATCATTCAATAATTTTAGCCCTTCAACTGTGGATACCGGTAGTGGTACCAAAGTTTCCATCTCCTTCCGCTCTTTGTCAATAGTTTCATCTTTGACGGGTTCTATCTGTCCTTTACTCAGACACTCCAAGCGCTTTTCTAAAACTGCCACTTTACTTTCCATATTTGCAGTTCTATGCAGTAGTCGTAAGAAGCAAGCTACAATTTTTTTTCTTAAGTACAATCTTGGAAACATTGAATTTAGAGTACACATTGACTGATTTGTAATCGTAAAGTAAATCGAAGTCGTTTGACACTATAATTAAGACCATAAAGGCAAAAGGTAAATTAGGAAACGGAAAGATGGAAAAACTCACCGGGCAATAACAGGAATACTCGTCAGCATCACCATCACCACATCGGGAAACTTAAACCACTTGCTTTTCCTGGATAATCGTTGATTCGTTGTAGCTGGAGTCACTCGGCTGGAAGGACCATGTTCGGGGTTTAATAATAAACCCACTAATTTCTCTTATCGTCGTTTATTTGTAAAAAAAAAACTTATAATTAACGTAGAGCCTCCTAAGTGACAATTATGTGACACCTACTCGGACTCGGCCATCTTTTTTCTTCTGTCGTTGCGCGGCAACGCCAATCTGGCGCACAAATGAATGTGAGGTTGCCGCCCCAGTTTACTTTAAATCCTTAACAACTATCCCTCTGTTTTTACGTTGGCTCAGTGCTGTGCTTTGAACTTTAATTTTTGCCGATGTCTTGTTTTTATCTGTTGGAAAATAAAATGTTGTCCTTGCTCTGATGTATTTATTTCTTTAATTGTTTTTGTAAATTTTGTAAGAGCTCTTAGATTGTGAAAAGTGTGTGAAGCGTTGAATTTCAGTTTTAAACTCTGCAACTACATTTTTGTATTGGTCCGGAAATTCTATAGTAATTTCTTGTGAACATGACGAAGGATTGGCATCATGCTGTATTTGCTGCAGTGATGGTTCTTGTATGGAAGAGCACTGTGGAATGCGCAAATCAATGTCCTGTGTAGGTCATCATCTAATTTCATATTCATGAAAAAAGCTTCATTTATATCATCGCCCGTTGCAATCCTTGCTAGTAACATTCTATCCTGTATAGATAGACGAGGAGAATTGGGAAATACTACCCCGAACTTTTGTTTAATGTCACATAGGTGTTTGCAAAATCTTCCACAGTTTCCAGCCTCACAGTCGCAAATGGCTACATCGATCCTGACCCTGTAAAAAGTTTTTAGACTTGTCACTGATACCACACTGTACTCAAAATCGTTAATTTTAGAAATATTCCTAACTTTTCAGAACTTTTCAGGAACATTGCGTATTTGCAGTCTTTGATCTTTAACATATCTGCATAAGAGATATACGCCTCTGAAAATAATTTTCAAAAATGGACGTAATGAAATCTACCAACGCGCATGCATTAAAAGCTTTACATCGCTGGAGTACTTACTCAAGTCTTTAAAAATGCGTATAGATGCAGTAATGTTGTTTGTATTGTTTCCTCGAGTAAGTAAATTCAACCTATAACAAACGCACCATTCATGCCGTCGTTTCCATAAACTACTCAAATGATTCATGAGAGCTGATATTCTCTGAACATACTCGTCACTGGTTAATTCATCATACAATTTGACCTGTTTCTTCTGGAGTTACAAACAAAATATTACGGAATTTTATCATAATTGATTGTCTTTTCGTAATGTCAACGTTGTGGTCTGCAACACAAAGCTAACGCCAAAAGGCTTGACACACATGGAAAGCGCATAACAGTAATCGAGCATTTGGAAAAATTGTTCTCAACGCATTTCGTTCTGCAGTAGAATCATCTTTCATGCCAACATCCGGATCAAATTTTTTACCCACATCGTTATTTTCTATAGCTTCTTTAATAGCAGCAAAAACCAGCTTGTAGTTGGATTCATTTTGCTCAGTACGTATAGCGCAAGCCAATGGAACACCGCCAATTTTGTGAGATGTAAAAACTAAAGTAATCGCAAAACTAGTTTGGTCACACAATGATGTTGTGTCTACAAATATCATATTCTCATATGCACTACATAGAAAGACCCGTTTCATTATCGGCGTAACTCTGACGAGAATCCTGGGATTTGGTTTAAACATTATTGAAAAGCCTTTGTTTTCTAAACTTTCAATTTTTCTTTCTATTATTTCTGGAAGATTGCATTCTGTACGATCACCATACTTTTCAGATTGCCATTTATTGTACATGTAGTATACGTGATTTTCGGGGTGATTTATTTGAGAATTCGATAGAATTTCTATTGTATTCTCTGCAGTATTTTCAAAAGAGTCCAATATGTACCGGGTGGCCAATTAAGAATGGACGCCGGCTGTATCTCAGAAACTACTTATCGTATAGCTTTGGAAAAAAAAAATAATAAGTAAATCGACCAAGAGAAATCGCTGGAAATTATATTCAAAATATGCAGGTGAACAGATATTTTAAGTATTAGTATAATCATCCAGAAATTTGTAATTTTTTTGATATAGAGTTGTTCACGCATCTCATTATTCTTTTTTTTTAGTTTTCTTTGATTGGGTTTGGGTTTTACAATATTTAATCATTTGTACAATATAAGTGATGTGCAAAAATAAGTAATTTAATTTTTTGTTTATTTTTCTTTACATTATTCGATTATTAATTGTTTGGTTGAGAATGATCACATAAATCATTAAAATTAATTCAATTTCGTTTCAAAATTCGCAACTCAGATGATTTCTCTATTGCCCAGTGCGCGCGATCATGAGTACTGAAGACATTCGCAATTCGGCCGGTGTGTAGAGAGTGATCGCAAACACTAGTGCAGAGATCCGACACTGTTTCTACTTTTCTGGTACTATTTTTTCAACAACAACGTTACGTGCATCCGAAGTGTGGGCAAAAAAAGGGTAAAGTCATTGAGTGCCCTGGTATATTTATTTCTCAATATTTTCTTTTTTCAATTCTCTTTTCGTTCAATATCGCAACATATTTTGATCCTTCTCAGCCGGATAATTGGCTAGATATTTCTTTTGCACATTTTTTATTACTATTGGGTGATTTTTAATAATTTTCTATTAATTAATATTAAAATATTTGATGGAGTAATATAATTTATTTCCAATAAATTTGTTTTTATCGATAAAATCGTTCGAATTCGTTTTGTCGCATTCCATTTAATCGTTTGGATAAATTCGCTTCGCGTATCTCGCAGTTGTTTTTCGATTCTGAATTATTGAAATAAATTGTATTTTTGAAATAAGTAGGGGTAGAAGGCCGATTCACCATCAGGGCAGGAGCACCGCACTGCGCATACGCGTAAATCCCAGCTAGGAACATGTAAATACGCTAATAAACAAGAATGACAGGTTTGGTTTGGTTTTGAACAGCTTTTAAAACAGAAATAAAACAGGTATGAACAAAAAATGAACAGGTCTGTTGTTTTTAAGCTAAAAGCGGTTCAAAAGCTGATCAAAAGCTGTTCAAACCAAACCAAACCTGTTTATTCTTGTTTATTAGCGTATTTTTACCTGTTCCTAGCTGATTTACGCGCATGCGCAGTGCGCTCTGCTCCTGCTCCTGATGGTGAATCGGCCTTCTACCCCTACTGATGGACCCATCGGGCTAATACAATTTCAAATGTGTGTTCCTGTAAGTCCCAAAAATTATTTCTATAAGAAAAAATATCGAACAAAACAATATATCATGAGTATATATAATTATAGAAGATAATTAGAATAAAATAGGGTAGATAATTTGAATAAATGTGTAATGTGAGGGCCTATTTAAGAAATTCAAACTAATGATATATGTAAAGTCTAAAAAAAGATTACAATTATTTCACGGTAATCAAAAGAGCTATGGGTAAACGTTTTTCTTTGTAATAGCTATACCAAAAAATAATGAAATTTCAAACTAATTGGTTACATTTTGAAAAATCTTTCTTAACGACAGCTGTGGGTTTGACCCGCTATAGATTCGATTAAAAATATGTGAAACATTCAGACCTAAGCTTTAGCCGATGTGAGACTAACCGCTCATCAGACCTGTTGACCCGGTGCAACAAAGACCCGATTAGAGGAAACAGACCCGGTGCAACAGACCTGATTGAAGTAGCCCGGTGTAACAGACCTGGTGCAACAGACCCGTTCCGCAACAAAGACCCGTTCGCAACGAATTCGTCGGGCCCGTTCAATCAGGCGTTCGATCGGGTGCTGTTGCAATCAGTGCAATAAACGGTGCTTCGCTTTAAAGCAGTCTTTGAATAACTGCAAATTTTAATCGAATCTATAGCGAGTCAAACCAATAATCGTTAGAAAAATTTTCAAATGTAAACCAACCGGACTATTTCTCAATATTTGTCACAAAAAACGTTTATAATATAGCTCTTGATTGCCGTGTAGCACTGAATATGTCTTTTGAACATATATCGTGAATTTGAGCTGGATGCGATACACATTCATTAATACCTATTTTATTCTGGTGTCTTCTGCTCTCGCTCATGATATGATTTCGACTTGGAACACCACATTGGTAATGACCAGCAATGATCATCAAATCGTTAATATCAACGATGGTGATGAATTAATTAACAGAAAATATAGTGTGGAAAATTAATAATTACATAAAAATATTTTTGAATACGGTGTGAAAAAATAAACTGGCAAATATATGGTGTAAAAGCAATACGTGATGAAATCACCGCTCGGTTTTAGCGATAAATATTTAAATAAAATAAAATAAATCAAACTGAGTGTTATTACATTGATTTCATACCAAACTAGCCTTATCAGTTTATAATTCGTCAGTAATTATGATATCGCCGATTTTTCTTGGAATATTCTCGAACCAATAACATCCGTTAAGGCGACTAGTGTCCTCCCACAACCTATTCATTAGTGGGCAGAATCATCATTTCCTTTCAAAACCGCATCAAAAATTTCTGATATAATTATCTACATCCGGCATCCGGCGGATGTAGATAAGACCTATGCACAAAGTTTAATTTTACTTAAATATTTATTGGAGATTTTTAGAGGAAACGGAAACCATACAAAACATATAAATAAAGCGTTGGCGATTGAAAAGTGTTAGTTTTGATTTGGCTCTTGAAGAGTTAAGACGTGTTTAAAGTGTGTCTCTCTTTTTTAGTGTGATGTCTTTTGTCGTTGACCTTATTAAGCATATCGCTGCCTTACTC